TCTGCAAAATTCACGAGGGCCCAGCAGGAACTTCCCCTTGCACCGCTGCTCTCCGGGGACCAGTGGGGGTGGCCATCACACCCCCCTCTCCCCCTCTGTCTCGTAGGTGTGGACCCCCAGCTGTACGTCACCATCACCATCTCCATCATCATTGTCCTGGTCGCCACTGGGATCATATTCAAGTTCTGGTGAGTGGGATTTGGGCCGATGGAGGCCGTTACCACGCCGGTGTCTGCCGGTGGGTGGGCAGGAGGACTGTGGGCTTGGGACCCATTTGTCCCAAGGGTGCAGATCTGGTGCTGCAAGCCCTTGCGAGGTTTGGCACGTGGCCGAGTTGGGCTCTGACGCTGAGCATAGCGGGGTCCCACGAACCTCTCTGTCATCGAGGGCTGGGCTTGTCTGAGGGGGTACTCCTTACCTCACCCCTTGTCTCTCTCCAAAGCTGGGACCGTAATCAGAAACGCCGGCGTCACTCGGGGCAGCAGAGCGGTGGCAGGCAGCAGGAGAGCCAGCAGCCCCTCACGGACCTCTCCCCCACCACTGTCAGCATCCTGGGGCCCTATGGCGACTCCCTGGCCCCCACGCCCGAGGCAGAGGAGTCCAGGGAGGGCCAGGAGGGTGTGGAGAAACTGGGGGGCCATGGGAAGAGCACGGCCTTCCAGCTCAACCGGTGAGTGGCCGGTGAGTGGCCCGTGAGCCGGGATGGGAGAGGGCGGCGGGGGACAGGCAGGCTGAGGCAGGGCAAAGGCACTGGTCGCTTAGCGGGGATGGTGGGGCGGGGTAAGCGCCCATCGCTAATTAATTTCCGATTCCCTTTTCCCCCCAGAATCCCACTGGTGAACCTGTGACGCTCACGGGAGAAGCAGAGCTGGCTCCCCCCACCCTCCTGTCACAGCTGGCGAGCGCAGACTCCCGCCGCCTCTGCTACCCCAGGAAAAAACGACCTCCTTGTGCCACGGCCGGCCACCACCATTATTAACTAACTCCACCAGGATGTGCCTGGGCAAATGGATGAGCTGGGCCTCCTTAGCCTCCTGCTGGGGGAAGGTTGGGGACCCCCTCTGCCCACGCAGGACAGGGTGATGAGAGAGCAGGATGGTGGGAGGGAGGACAGCTGGTGGTGGTGTGAAATCTTGGCCTCCCCGACCCCTCTCCTAGCACACACACAGACACACACACACACTTGGATCTCCGTGACTCTCTCACCAGTGCATGCCTGACATCGGGGTAGGCAAGGTGGAAAGGCGTACCCCTGTCCCCGTGGGCCCTGACCCCTCTGTGTGTCCCTTCCCATGTCGTGTGCTTTGAAGTGAATGTCTGGAGTTCAGTGGCTGCAGGATTGCCCACCGGGGCTTGGTCTCCCCTGAGCCGGGACTCAGGTGGTGGCAGGTTCTTCTGTTCCTGAGGCCTTGGCCCTCCCGAGGGTCCCAAGGGTGGGTGAAGCTTGGGCAGAAGAGGCTCACACAGCACTTGGGCCCCCTCAGCAACCCATTTCCTTGAAGGAAACATTACCTCCCCCCTAGATGGAAGATATTCACATATTTCCATTTTTTTTCTGCCTAACACTCCTCTGTTTTTTCTCTTCAGCTTGTATCTTTCTTCATCTCTCCATCCCCAATTTTTTTCTCTCGGTTCCTCCCCGCCCCCACTTCTCTTGCCAGTTAAAGTTGGAAAAGGTTCCTTTAGCTTTCCAAATGTTTTGATCTCTTGGAAGCCTCCTTGCTGTCCCCCTCCACCCCCTCAGTCTCCTTCAGCAAGGTTTTTCTGAAGAACATCAGTCTATGGTGATGTTCTTCAGAAAATCTGAGGAGAAGCCCTCTGCCCATCATGTTATTTAGCAAGCGTCCTGTACATTGGGATACTGCCGAAGCAGCTAAAGCATGGCATGCAGATACAGCTGGACACAAGGAACTTGGGCTTTGCTGGGCTGAGGTAGGGAATTGCTTTCAGACACTCATGCCACAGGCAACAAGCAGCAGATGTGATTCTCTGTGCCTGGGTTAACAAAGAGCAATTTAGAGTTGGCCTTGGGAACATTTGGAGGGTTGCCATGTGTTGCTGGTAGGTCCCTCCTGGAATGCAAGGTGACTGGAGACCCACGAGGCAGCACTCACCAAGGGCATGAGAGAGGGGATATCTGGGGTGCCAACCTTCATAAGTGTATTGGCCCAGCTGGTTGGGGACCAAAACCAATGGTACAGGTATTGGTGCAAACTGGTTGCCTGAGCACATACTTCGGGGCTGTGGTGGTCTGTAGGGCAGGCAGCCACATTGTTAGTTACTTGTGCGAGCAAGATCAGTGCGTCTCAACCTCTTCCTATGTGTAGACCCATGGGTGTCTCTTTGAGGAAGTATGAAATGGCAAATTTCAGCTTAATGACAACAGTTGGTCTCCCTTGGCTTTTGTGGACACCTTCAAAGTAATTCACAGACCTCACGTTGACAGCCACTGAGCTGAAATGATACAGATTTAGGTAAGGTTGCCCCAATACTGAACAAACACCTTTAGCTGCTGGACTGATGTCGCCAGAGACAGGAAACTCACCCACAATTTGAAGGCCCTTATGCACCATACAAGGTCTCTGACAAAAGTAATCTTGGAGAAAAGGAAACGACCCTTTCATCCTTTATCTCTGCAGTAAAAGCCTATTCTTTATAGGACAAAGCACAGGGAGTTTCATAAGAGGCCATTTACCCAGCTGAACTATTAGGTGATCTCGGGCCCCATCTGACTCACCGTGAAGGACATTTAAATGAGAGTGTAAACTGCAATAAGCTTTGCAAAAAACAGTAGAGATTTGGAGAAAATGACAGGTCAAATAAAATTACTGGCTTATTAAAAGCATAGAATGGCTGAAAGATGTAGGCGGAAAAGGACTCTGGAGGTCTCTAGTCTAAGCGCAGTTTGAGTCTCCACTTATAGCAGGGGATATTATTGCTTTACCGTAGATAAATCTATTACTGAGCCTTTTCCTTATTCAGGCTCCGTTCAAGGCTTTGGTGGCATTCAAGCTGCAGATGGACAGAGAAGGGGGACAGACGGCTGTTCCTGCCCGCTGCCCCGCTCACCACTGTCCCCGCCAGGTGCGGGCCGCTCGGGGCTGTTCCCCTTCTCGCTGGCACATCAGTGCTGGAGAAGGCCATCTGCAGGCAATCTGCAAGAGGCTGCACTGCTTATTGCTGGCAGTTTACAATATAATGCCTTGAACTGGTTTAAGTAATCTTCCAGACCAGATTAATTAGATTGCTCTTTGATCAATAGCGCTTGTTGAAACAAGGCCAGAGTTTAGACTCTACCACTTCAAGGGCTGTCCTTGGACTTTCCCTTTCCACATGCTGCATGGAGAGAAGGTCTGTAAGAAAGTGGCAGGGCACCGCAGGAGGCGTAGTGAAAATATTTTCCAACACTTGATGCGGGGAAGCCTGGCGCTTTGCTGGCCAGGCTTTTGTAAACTCTACAAAAAAATCAGATTTCGGTGTTTTGGGTTTTTTTTCCTCCCTTTAACGTGTCTTTGTTTTTTTTAAAAGTAACTCCAGGGAATGAAGCCTTTCACGGATGCTGTGGTAAGGGGGAAGCTGAGGAATGCAGTAGAGAAAAATCTTACAATGACAGAAGCTTGGATATGCTGAAAATCTTTTCCAAGACCAATTTTTCCAGCCAAATATGTTTTTATGACAGTCATTCACTCTCTCACAAAAAAACAGGTTAGATATGGGAAACAACTTCATTGTCCTGCCCAAACTTTCATTGCTACATTTTGTCCCTGAAACAAAATATTCAAAGCACATATGGACACACAAGCTTCTTCCAGTCAATAAATAATCTCACTGGATCTGTTTCCTCCACGGCTGGAGCCTTATAAACCATCTTCCCCTACGCAGACTGGAGCCAGAGCGTGCCTGAAGTCTCTTCCCTGGCCCAAGCTAATATTCTGTGAGATGCACACATGGACGGGTTGACAGCACCATGTACCAAGCCAGGGCAGAGGCCAGCACCTTCTCAGTTACAGCCCATCAGGTTTCCATGTCTTCTAGGCGACTGGAGGAGAAAGATCCGGATTACTTTTTTCCAGTGGAAATTTTACAGAGAGAAAGGTGAGCGGGGAAAATGACTGAAAATGTTTGTAGCCCAACATTTCTGTGCAATTAAAAGGAAACATCCAGGTGGGCTGGGTGAGTTGAAGGCACCATGTCTGTGCTGAGCTCCTGGAGGGACGTGGCTTTGTTAAGGCAAGGGTGGTCTTTCCGCGAGCGCAGTGGGAAGGAGGGAAGGTCTGGGGGAGAACCTCTCCCCTCCGCCTTGTATTGTTTCAGAGAAGGAACTGGAATCTTGCTCTGTTTACCCAGCAGCGTGGCATGACCACAAGGTCAAATCCTGCTTGGGCTTTCCCATCTGGTTGGTTGCAACTGATAGGCAGGGGAGCAGACCTCCAGTGTGTGCTTCCACAACGCTCCTCCGGTCCAGTTTACAGGGACTCACATCCAGCCAAGCATCCCATGGCTTCAGAGAGGGCTATCTACCTCTTCCTCAATGGCACCTAAGTGCCCTTGCAAATCTGGTCCCTTCATTCCCCACTCCCTTTCCCAATAAGGAAAAATGCTTGGAAAGGAGCGGTTTGTTCATTCTCCACAAGTTCTCAAACACGATCACCTTCAGACTGCTCTGAATTAAACTATGGCACAGCCTTAGAGCCAAGTCCTGCAGCACAAAAGCCCTGGGCCAAACTCCAGCTCCCCGATTGCACCCCCACCAATGTCTCACTGTAGTCCTGGCCCTACCTTGGCAAGACCATAGAGGGGGGCCCCCTTCCTTCACCGACTGCTGGCTCTCTACTCCTTTTTTCCTGTTGTTTTCCCTCTCCCACTGTTTTCCCACTTTCCACTCCTGTCCTGTATCATGGTCTCCCTCCCAGTTATCTCTCTGCTCCTGCTGTTTCGCTCTCCCCACTCCTCTCTTGTTCTCCCTTTGCCACTCAGTCGCGTTCTGCTGCGGGTCCCATCCTCCCCTCCGTCCTCCCTCCTGCTTCCCCGCTCAGTCTTGTTCTTCCCCCTTCCCTGCCTTTGTGCGCTGTGATATATATTTTTGTAGAATTTCTCTTCTCCTCGTGGTGAAATATTCAATTCTTGTGGGATGTTAGTTTCAACATTTTTAAATAAACCTTTGCAAAATACTGAAAGCAGAGCTCTTGCTGCTGTGGAAGAGGCTGTAATGGAGATGTCAGGGTGGGACGAGAGGGACTTCACCCTGGGCAGACGCCTGCGGGACAGGGTCTCAGGCATCTGGCATCCCACAGCCTCCTCTGAGGGGGGTAGATGGGGCGATTTGGCCCCACGCCCATCTTGCCTTGGTCTCCTTGCTGGCCAAAGAGGCCCTTTGACCCTCCTCATGCATTTCCACGGGAGGTGGCCCCTGATGGAGGAGGCCTTGCACAACCACTTCTCCACCCAGAGCAGCTGTTCTGCTTCCCAGCCATGCTTTGGGGCTGCTTGTCACACACCGGTTTGTGCTGGGAGCCAGGGTGGCCGGGAGAGGTGAGAGAAGCTGAGGGGAAGGGAGGGAGATGGAGCGATGCAGGCGCAGAAGCCTCCCTCACTCTGTTCCCCGCGGCTGCCTCCGCAATTTCTATTTACAGCCCTGCTGCCTCCCCTCCTGGCCACAGTGCCGCTGCCGTTGCTGGTTTCCAGGGCTGCTCTGTAATTAAGCATCCTTGTCTCCTGAAACTCCCCCACTTTGCAAGCTCCGGCAGCGATCGGTGCTGGGGCGGGCACGGAGCGGGTGCTGGAGACCAGCACCAGACACGGTGGCTGCTCCGAAGGGCCGCTCCCTGGCAATGGTAGGAGGATTGCC